TCTAAAAAGAATCACAATGCTTGTTTGGAGTAAAACAAAAAAAGTGATAGTGATTCGTTCAAAGTATGCTTGCTTCAAGCCTGGAACAGATGTATATATACTTCGTGAGGCCTTCTTGACTCGTGAATCTTGAGAGATTACAAACCCAAGGGAGTTGATCCTTGAAAGGAATCATAAATTGATTCTTTCCAAGAATAAAGTTAAGTTTTCGTTGATCTTCCTTGATTTGTGGTCTTGACAGGTTGTTCATCCGCTGGGCATATCTTTACATTACTTGAGTGATCACCGATGGAGAGAAGTCTTATTGTGTGCCTCACACAACTGACATTAGTTGTGTGAGGCTCCTTTTTGTCTCACTAATTTGTGGACCCCAATCTTACACTTCTGGGTCGACAAAAATCTGGGCCCACAAAACTGTGAGACAAAAAAGATGCCTCATACAACTAGTGTTAGTTGTATGAGACACAAAATAAAATTTTCCACCGATGGATCCCTTGATTTTGGGCTTCAACAATTTTCAGTGCATCGCTTCATAATCTTGTTTTCCTTTGATTTGGGACCTTCCTATAATAGCTTCCCGTCAGTCATCAATCAAAGCATTGATTGATTCTTTTCCAGATTTCCGCTGCTTCTTCCTTTTTTATCTCTAATCATTGATACTTTTCCTTTTCCTTTGCTTCTAGTGCTCCCGTTAACAGATTGTTTTCTTAATCCATACTTGAATGATAGGGCTTCTTGATTCCTTTGTTTTATCCCTTGTGATGCTGCACCAAATTTGATACATTATTTTTCATCATTAAAACTCATGTTTAACACAAGGAATTTCGAAATAGTTATATATTATTTTTACTCTAGTTTACAGTATAATTTTCGAACAGAGAAGACTCAATTAACCTTACATGGGGCTCCTCTGTTGCTTCACATAGTTGAGCCAGCGACATATCCAACAATGTGTTCTTAGTTCGGTATAGTCTAGTGCTTTAAGGTCAAACTTCATATATGAGCGGGATAAAAAGTTATATACTCCCTCCGGTTCACAATAAGTGACCAACATTTTCCGACTTAAAATTTACAACATCGAAAAGTTGAATTCGTCACTAGTCAAAATAAGTATAATTAACTACTTAATGGCGTCACGTGAGGATTTACTCCCAATTAACAATAAAGGTAACATTTTATTTGATTTAGAAAAGTTTACTTTTAATTGTCACTTTAGGATTAAACAAATAAACACAACACCTTTGTCATTATAATAATATTTAGAACAACACAAGACAAATAATTATATTAAGCACATGTACAACCACTTGTTTTTAACTTTTATGATTGAACTAATTAATCAAAGTTTTCTTTAAATAATAAAGAAAGGGTATGAAGATTTTCTAACGATGTTCTAGTTGGCACTTATCAGATTATCTTTTTACTAATTAGCGGATTAATAGTTTGTTTTTTTTGGTGGCCCGACTAAATTCATATTTGCATCTAGAAATCCTATATTATAGGGTAAAATGTTTCTTTATAAAGACAATTTCATATTTAAAATTCGAGCCCGAGCGCTCTAACTAAGAATGAAATTAATACTTATTACTTTATTACGATCTTTGTTGGTTAGTTGATTGAATATTGATAGTTATACAGTATTGTCCCAATCATTTGTAAAATAAAGAACTTTAGGTGGAAATCCGATCCCACATTATCCAAATATGGGGTTATTCTTATTTTAATATCCAAAAACGAATATAAATCTAAATAGATAGATACCATTGTACATATGCTTTGTCTCCTTAGGGACCCACAAAACAATTGCTACATTTTTTATATTATACATTATAAAGCAAATGATTTGTCACTTAGATTTGGACATGCACCTTGCCCTTCATACATAAAAGAGTTCAGACCTATTTATAATTGGCATAAAATCTTACTTGAATCAAAGTCTTATAGTTTAGATCTAGTCGGGAAAGGAGGTAGAAGCTCGAATACGGGTACGATCGAACTCAATAAAATAATACTATACATATTTGAAATTAAAACACCTTATCTTTGCTTTGTTAGCTGCTAATTAGCAATACTAATATATACTTCATCCTTTTCAATTTATATGGTTTAGTTTGACACGGTAATGAGATTAAAAAAATATTTTTTTAAACTTGTAATTTTAAATATATTATAATATTTAAGTGGCCATAATAAGATATTTGAAACTTGCGACCTTAAATATTTTATAGTAATATTTATGTGTCTATAAAAGCTTCGAATTGACGATAACATAGAAATTATTTTCAAATATAAAAAAATATTTTTTTTCTAGATAAACTATTGAATTATTCGTGGAAGCACTCATTAATGCTTGGATTAGCATAAGCTGTTTGCATTACACCTTTTAGGGTGTGGCCTTTTTACAAACCTTGCGTGAATATAAAATATTTATATATCAGACTGAATAAAGGAAATGCGTCATATATCAGACCGAATAAAAGAAATGCGTCATATAAATTAAAAAGAATGATCAAGAGCTTCTTTCATTTTCTAAGAGTGGTGTGAAACAGCAAGCCATATACTGGTTCAAAGATGTTCAGACTTATTTCAGTAGTCATATATATGATGAGTTCAGAGGAGGAGCTAGGATTTGAAGTGTACGGGTTCTAAACTTTTAAATAAGACGGCGACCCAAAACCAATATACAATAACAAGCAAACTAAAGAACGAATACCGATATTTAATACACATTTAAAAAGTAACGAATCATACAAACATAATATTTGAATATAAACATTATTATTTCAATTGCACTTGACAACTTGTCATATTCTGAAAACGATTAATAATCACATCATTAGGTACACTTCAAAGTTTAAATACTTCATCCTCTATTTAACAAACTAAACAGTCATTCAAAAAGTCATCACCAATTCTGCTTAGCAAGTCATTTTGATTAAATTTCATTGAAGAAAAAGTCCTTTCTACCGTTACAGTAGCCACAGATAATATCAAACTTAACTTCACACGCAAAAAAATAAGACCCCGTGTCTTGTGAATATTTGTTTTAACCAATGTCTTCGAGAGATTGCCAAGCCCTTTTAGAGAATGCATTGTACATGTTTCGCACATAATTAGAGAATGCATCCAGTTGAGTGATTAATTTATTTTTATTTGTTAAGGCTCAACAGAGATTAATGTATGCTGTTTTTCCCTTTTGAATTTCTTGGCCACCTTTACTGTAAGTTTGTGGCCTCTTAGAAATATAAAATATGCTGCCCATGAAGATGTATTGATACACAAAGATGCAAAATTAGAAAGAAAATTGTATCCAACTCGCCCATGGATATGTTAATTGGTTAGCTACTCAAGCTACTTCAGTTATCCTTTTATGTTGTGTCATCTACTAATTTACCTGATAGCCAAATTTAGATGCTAATAAAGTAAAGCCATAGCCAATTACTTTATAAAAAAATCAGCAATTAGGGCAGAAAGGCAAAACCCTAGCTTTGTTTGATTTGAGTGCAGTTGAATTGTGAAGGAAAAATGTCTGTTTATTTTGTTTTAGAGAAGATGTGTGTATTTGATTTGTGTTTTTTTTTTTATTAAAAAGGAAAAGGGTTGTGTTTTTCTTTATTAAAAAGGAATGGTAATTCTGAAGCATGAAGGAAACACCAATTTGGAACTTTGTAGCTTTGTCGTTTCTTCTATTTCTTATTTAGTTTTTCAAAGAAAAAAAGAAAATTTAACAAAATGCAAGATTGCTTCGGCGTACCAAATATATAGAAACAATAAGTTTTTCAACACAAATATAGGGTTCACAAAAAAGTCACTGGATTCATCCGAACCCGCACACTCTATTGTAGCTCCGCCCTGAATTGATGACTTTAAGTACGAAAAATAATATATTAAAATATTAAACTAATATCTCCATGCCATGGCGTGTATATATCAAACCATTTAAGTATATCTCTGATGCCTGCAAGTGCGAGAATTTAGCAAGTGTCAATGGCGGTGGTTGATGCAGCTCTAAAATAATTTATATATATATATATATATATATATATAAATATTAGATATGAATTATAACATAAACAATAATGAGTTTCTTTAAGAATTTTAATAACAGGAGAAAATAAGATATTTCAAAGATAAAGGGCGTTTCACTCTCAAATTGAAATTTTTCAGTACAAATATAAATTTTCAGACTACAAAATAATATGAGACATCAAATAAGAAACAAAAATAAGTTGTTTAATTGTGGAAAAGGAGCTGATGGAAAAATGTTACTCCCTTCGGTTCACAATAAGTGTCCAATTTGCTTTTAGCACGCCCATTAAAAAAATACTAAATTCTATACAAAAATACCTACAACTACCCCTAATTAAACATTTAATATGAGGAGTAAGAAAAGTTTTTAGGGATATGTACATAAGGGTTATTTTGTAAAAACAAATTGAATTCTTTCTTGATTACATAACTGGACACTTATTTTGAACCAAAATGAAAAAGCAAATTGGACACTTATTGTGAATCGGTGGGAGTAAATGTGTGACAGGAAAAGATATTGTGCCCCATGCATCAAAATCACTTCGTCGTTTAGCTTCATATGTTATACTCCTTCGGTTTCTATTTATGTGAACCCATTTGACTGGGCATGAAGTTTAAAAAAAAGTAGAAAACTTTTAAACTTGTGATATAAATGAAACACATATTTTTTGTATAAATCATCGCATAAAAATAAGTTGTTTCCAAATAGGAAAATATTTTTTTTTTGGCACGGACTAAAAAGGAAATAGGTTCTCATAAATTAAAACGAAAGAAATATTATATTATTCAAAAACGGAGCAAGAATTTTAAATTTATGGGCTTAAATTTTAAAATAATAATTTTAAGAGCTACTAATTAGATTTCTAATTTAATATACGTATATATCTAATAAATTTCTTAATATAAATATATTATTTGAGCAAAAATTATTTGACCGAAGCCCCTAATATTATTCCCATGTAGTTTAATTTTTGTGTGTGTGAGAGAGAGAGAGAGGAGACCTTATCTCTCTGACTCTCTTGCCTGCAAAAGACATTAAACACAAGAAGCCTGTGTTCTTTAACCGCTATCTCTTCATTATATATATTATTACTCAATAAATACTCACTCACTCTCTCCATTTACAAACCCAACATAATCATCAAGTAGTAGTGCAAATTGCTCTCTCATACCCACAAGTGGAAAGTTACCAAAAAAGAACATAGACCTTATTATGTCTTATTTCAACAAGTCTAGGTTGAAACATAACACGTTAAACTATCGATAGATTCACATAGCAATCCTGAACGAGGACGCTGAAATTGTTTGTTGTTGTTCTGTAAGTTGAAGTTCTGATTATGAAGTTGAGTTGCACAAGATGAATCACTCTGTTCCTAATTTCGAAACGGATGAATCCACAGTGTAAGTTTCATGAAATATTTTTATTTTTTATCCGGTATTTGGTATGGTATTTGAAGTTTACTGATTGGACAAGTCTGGTCAATGCATATCTTTCCACAGAGTGGAGGAAGATGTAATGGAGCTAATATGGCAAAATGGACAAGTAACTGCCCAAAGCCAAAATCAAAGATCTCAAACGGTAGCAGCTTCAGCTCGACCACTATTTATACAAGAGGATGAAATGGCCACGTGGCTTCAATATCCACTTGAAGATTCTTCTTTCGAGCGTGATCTCTATGCTGATTTTCTCTATACTACGCCGAGCTCCTCTGTTGTCACCGCCGCCGAGCCGACGCCAGGAGAGATTGATACTACCACGACGGAGATCCGTCCGAATCAGCCTCTGCCTCAATTGAGATGTACTGAGGGCAAATTTTCACATCGCTTACAGAATTTCGGGCATTTCTCACGATTGTCTAAAGCAAAATCGCAGAATTATACATCGAGTTCTGGTAACACAGCTTGGGTATCAACGATTGTCGATTCGAATGAAACTCCAATTGCAGAATTTTCACGCTTATCGGATAAAGTAGCGCCAGTTGCCGCCGGGAATGACGGAGGAAAAGCCACGAGTGATACTACTACGACGGCGGCGGAAACAACCAGCGGCAGGGAAATGTCGACGACGGCATGTGAGTTCACGGGGACGTCATCGACAAGTGGCTCGAGAGGTAGTGTAAGTGCCAGTGCGGAACCACCGCCGCTGCAGCCTCCGCAGGAGGCGGCGCTTATGCCGGCGGAGGATCGGAAACGGAAAGGAAGAGAAAGGGGAATGGAGGACTATGAAGAACACAGTGAGGTGGTAAGCAGCTAAATTAGTTTCTGGTTGTTTTATCTTCTCTTAACTCCCTAAATTTTTTTATTAAATAAGTAGTCTTAGGTCTGTTTAGTTAAGTATTACTCTATTTAATAATTATGAAAAATAACATTATATAGTCACTCTCAAAATAATAGCAAAAAAAAAATATAAATTTTGTATATATATATATTTATATATACACACATTATGTTTGTTATATATAAACATTATATAAATTTTATACACTTTTCGGTTACCGAATGTAAATAGTTTTTGGTGCGAATTAAAAGTGAAAAAGCACATTTAATTATAATAAACTAATAAGATTCGTTTTGTTAGCTGAATCTCACCATTGAGTTAACATTTATTTACAAATGATAGTGTGTACGCTAGTCTTATTCTTACCTTACGAAGGTAGAGAATTTGTTTCCTGATAGACCATTCGCTTAAGAAAAGTATAATCACAACTTTTTCAAAAAAAAAATACAGAGTGGAAAGTCATAGAAAAAAATAGTAATAACAACAAAAAAAAACAAAGCAGGAGAATTAACAGATAGTAATAAAAATCTAATACTAAAAAAATACGAGAATAATATTAGTACTAATTTATTTAAAAATAAGCTGATAACTTTTTGATTAATTAAATGGTACTGAAATATTGATAATATGTAAATATATATTTTTCACCCTAAATTATAAAATATGGTAAGTATCCTATTTATTACAAATATTAGAAGTTAGTTTATGATTTTCATAGCGAAAAATCATGTTCCCTCCTTTTCAATTTATGTGAACGTATTTTTTTTAATTCGTGTCAAAAAGAATGATTTTTTTCCATATTTTAAAACAAATTGCTTTTATGCAATGATTTATAGTTACACAAAATATATCTGTTTTATTTTATATAAGTTCAAAAATCTTTTTTTAAAATTTCGTGCCCAGGTAAATACTTACTCCGTTCTCTTTTTGTTTTCCACTTTTGATTTTGCACTCCTTTTTTAAAAAATAAAGTATATATTTTATAATTTTTCCCATATTAATAACAATATTTCTAAAAGTTTTGGAAAGTGAATTGAGGAATGAGTAGTTAATGAATGAGATAAAATAAAAATAAAAGTATTATTATTTTTTTTATTTAGTATAATAAAAAAATAAAAATATATTTTTAGTATAGTGATCAAGTAAAAGGGAACGGAGCAAATAAAAACAGGGGGAATATATTATTGTCGGTCCAAATAATATTTGTTACATGCTCAGAAAATGAACATATTCCAAGGGAATAGGGATAAAATCACACTGTATTTTTGCACGTTGGATGTGTTCAGTATTGGGGAGTGGCTTTGTCGTTTACTGTATTTTTCCACACATTTAGCGCATCGGAGAGTTCATGGCCAGAAGAAAGCCACGTCATCCGCATATACGTAAAATGATGCCAAGTGGCATAATAGGTCAATAGAGTATCTTAACTTTGACACTATCGTTGTTCACCACAAATAATCTACACGGATTCTCATGTCGACGAAGCACCTTGTTGGAACAATCACAAAGTACAAATTCTATGGGTCATTCCAATTTATTGGGCATTCCGTTTTTTTTTTCAATTACTAGTATATTCCTTCCGTCCTATTTTACAAATATAAATAGGACCTTTAATAAGTTAATTAGAAATATTTATCTAATTATGAGTTATTTTATTAAGAAAATTTAAATTATTTTTAAATATAAGAAAATATTTTATTTTTATGACAAACTAAAAAGAAAAGTCAATATTGTATTGGTCTAAATTTGGGCGGCTTGATAACTGCAAATAAACATGGTCGAGGACAGAGCCGACCACTGCACAATGGCGAGGAGTCGTTTTAAGAAGGATTATTGCCGAGGTCAAGTAAAGGGAGCAAGGAAGCAACAGTAGGATAGGTTTAGTAATAGACATAAGGAATATTCCATTGGATATTCTTTATGTTGTACATTTTAGGATTTCTTGGGGATATCCCTTATAAATAGGAAGAGATAAAGAACAAAAGGGGATCTTTACTTTTTGATAAAGGCACATTGTAAAGGGTTGACCATAGAGAATATGCAAAAGCTTGTCTTGTTCACTGATTCTATTGCTAACACACAACGTTCACTCTTTGTTTACAAGATCCAAAGATTCCTTATCCATCCTCACTTTCCATTATTCCATGTTGCTGTCACGAAGAAGAATCACCCAAGTCATCTAACATTTGGGTGATAAATTCCTATTTATTACATTTATTGCCATTATCTTCATTTATTGCATGTTCTTATTATAACATTCATTGACAATAATTGAACACGTACCTGATATTTATTATTCTCGAACACGGTCTCATCCCACGGATCCCCTTCAATCTTAGATCTAGAATATATTATGTTTAACTAGGATTCACCCTCTATTTCCTCATTAATTAGTTTAACGAAAAGCTTAACACTTTTTGATCAAACAATTTGGCGCCATCTGTGAGGAGCATTCTAGTTAAAATTTTAGTTCCTTCTAGATTAAAAAAAAACAACAACCATCTTTTTCCCGTCTGCACGAACTAACAATAGCAGTAAAAGGAGATGAAAGACAGAAAACAGTAGTGGGCATCACCGCCAACCTCTTGAACACCATCAACGAGGATGATAGAGAAAACGAGGAGAATGTGACGCCGAGTGCTACACCCAGGCGAAGTGACTCACCCCCCCCCCCCC